CATATGACACAAAAGGGATTAGACGCATCAGGAGTTACCATGCCTAGTTTTGCTAATGTTGGGGTAGCATTAGCTGCGGAACTTAATGAACCTTTGATGGCAGAGCTTATTGAATTAGAACCCGCCGCAGAGATGGCAACAGCTGTTATAGAGGAATCCGAGGAAGAGAGTATGCATAAATAGTTGCAATTTCAAAAATCTTTTTTTAACTTTTTAACTCATTACATATTATTCAATTAACTTTATGAAGAAAAGGCAAAATATTGGTCGGAGAACAAGGATTCTCTTTTGAAATGTCAGTCAATTGCACGTACTTATCTTGCGAGAAAAAGATTATTAGAACGAAGAGCAGTGCATCAGTCAGTTATACCTTTCGTAATTCGTCTGCAGGCACAATCTCGAGGTTGGCTAGTGCGAGCGGAATGGAATAGACGTTTAGATCAAATGGAAAAGTTGGAAAAATGGGTTGTACAGGTGAATTATCTTTAACTACACTCTACAGTTCGTTTCCCTCATGAAAAAATATTGATATTTCTTGATTGCTTAAAGTTGCAAGCAGCTATACGTAGAAAATTGGCCCAAGAAAAACATCGTGGTCGTTCAGATCATTATCGAAAAAATATTGATAAAGTTATCAAGATCCAGAGCTTATACCGTGCCAAACATGCGGGAGATGCTTATCGAAATTTGGGTAGGTTGAATAGCAACGTCTTATTTTCTTTTAATTCATGATATATATATATATATATATGTTATATTAACATTTGTATAAAGTCATGGGAAGCAATCCGCCAGTAGGAACTATCAAGAATTTTATTCATTTATTAAACGATAGTGATTTTGATTTCGAGGAAGAAATTGGTAATATTTTCAGAAATTAATCACCAGCTTTGCCACCCCATTTTAACTTTTTTTTCTTAACATAGAGTTGGAACGTTTGAGACAAGCTGTCATTCAACGTATTCGTGAAAACAATCAATTCGAGGATCATCTGAATCAACTTGATATTAAAATTGCCTTATTGATTAAAAATAAGATCACCCTGGATGAGGTGGTCGCTGTGGCTAACCCAAAGAAGCGTAACCGACGGCTTTCCCAACTCAATTCTCCTCATGGCCCTTTTTCTCTGAAATCATTGGACAAGGAGTCACGTCATCGACTAGAATTGTATCAACAACTTTTTTATCTGTTACAAACACAGCCGGTATATCTTGCAAGACTTTTTTTCATAATGAGCAAGATGAGTTTCCCAGAAAAGACCAAGAAGTTGGTGGAGGGTGTGGTGCTAACTTTATTCGGATATGCACAAAACGCAAGAGAGGAGTATCTGTTACTCAAATTATTCCAAAGAAGTATGATGGAAGAATTAGAGAATATAGATTCATTGCAAGAGTTCTTAAGGGGAAACTTTATGTTTATGAAATTGGTCGTTCACTATAATCGTGGAGCAAAAGAGCGAAAATTCCTGCGAGATTTGCTTAGTCCCTTGGTAAAACATGTTATGGATGAAGAGTCGCTGGATCTGGAAACAGATCCTTTAGTTATTTACCGGACGTTGATCAATGCAGAAGAATTGAGAACAGGTCAGAGGTCCACTAGACCGACAGATATCACACAAACAGATGCGTTGAATGACCCGGAGACAAGAACAGTATTTATTCATCACTTGCAAAAACTTCGAAAGGAGACCGAGATGTTTTTGATGGCAATAATAAATTCTATTGATAAGATGCCATTTGGAATACGGTACATTGCCAAGGAGTTAAAGAAAGCTTTGATGAAAAAGTTTAGTAATGAAAGCGAGGATTCAGTGGTAAAAGTAGTAGGGCATTTGATTTATTATCGATATTTGAATCCCGCGATTGTGTAAGTGTTTGTTAAAATTGACCATCTGCCTATCTGTTTGATGTTTATTTATTATTATCTGAACATCTTTCAAATTTTGTCTTTTTTTTTGCAATCTAATCTCAGCGCACCTGAGGGATTCGATGTTATTGAAAATGTTGTCAGTCCGATGCAACGTAAAAGCTTGGCTGAGGTTTGTATGAAGTTTTTATTTAACTGATCACATCGAAAACAATAAAAGTTTTTTTATTCATTTATACAATCCATTTTATTAATATTACTTAGATATCCAAAATGTTGAATCAAATTTCTGTGGGTAAATTGTTTAGTGAAGATAACCTGTACTTACAGCCTTTGAACGAGTATGTTTTGTACGCGACAAATAAATTTTCGAAGTTCTTTAAAGATGGTATGTCGGTTCGATCACTTTCATCATCTCACCAAATAAGTATACTTAATGATATTTCGTCTTATGTTTAAAACAGTCACGGAGATTGGAGATGCAGAGACATTTTTTGACATTGATGAGTTCGATGACCTCGCCAGGACGCATAACCCGATCATATATATTTCACCACAAGAGGTGTTTCTGACACACGAATTGCTAATGCAACAATTGGATCACATAGCACCACAACCTAATGACGTGTTGAGGCATATATTTCAAGATCTTGGTGAGACACCTAAGATCGAAGATGAATCGGGTGATTCAAACGCCAATGAAATATCACTGACACTTACGAGTCGATTTGCACTAGAAGCAATAAGTGACCCGGATGCAGAAATCAATCATTTGTTCGTTGAAACAAAACGTACAGTTCTTTCTATATTGCGGGTACAAAATGGTACAAGCTTATTGGACATTCTATTAAAACCGGTGACCCCGCAGGACGAGGAGACGTATGCGGAAATATGTAAAAAAGATCGAAAAAAGAAAAAGTCCGATTCAGGAAGTAACGCGAGCGGTTCTAGTGGCCGAAGTGGAATAAGCGTGGAATTAAATGACATTAGTCGCATGAAATTCCTAGACGTGAAAAAACTAACGTTACAAAACATATTAAAGTTAGAGAAAGAGGGAAAGGTGACGAGAAAAAACAATTATCAAGATATGTTAAATGCGATCGCTATTGACATAAGGAATAAACATAGGAGACGGGTGCAAAGACAGAAAGAATTGAGACAGCTGAGGCAGACTTTGATTAATTTGGAAGAGAAGCGAACGCACTTGGACGAGCAGATCAAAACATATAACGATCATATTGATGTTTGTATGCAACAGTTATCTTCCAAGAAAGGGTAAGATCCAGATGTTCATATAATAAATGCGGTAATTTATACTGTGCAACTCATGCTAATGAACGTTTACTGAACTTTATAGCAAAAAAAGTCGTATGGTTTTACCGTTCACCAGACAGTACTTCCATCTTCGAGAATTGCAAAGGTCCGGGAAGGTTCCACAGTTCGGATCATTCAAGTACACGGCCCAGCGACTTCACGACAAAGGAGTGCTGATCTCGATATCAGGTTATCCAACGTTGGACAAAATTAGTTTTACCATATCATCCGATGAGGTGGGAATATTTACCATTGATGCATCTTACGCCGGAGTATCAGTACCGGGAGCTCAAATGGAATTGAGATTAGAAGATTTGTTACAAAGTCAGTTTAATAACGTGCAAGTGATGAGCATATTTGATGGAGTGGCAAAAGTGAACGTTAATCTGTTATTGTTTTTAATCAACAAGAAATTTTTCGTGTGAGACTTTTATCATTATAGATAGTTATCTGTACTATTAGTATTTATGTATTTATTAACATTACGTGTTAAGAGTAATCTATCGACTATTTATATTTTATCACGAATGTGTAATATAAGACTTTATTCTATTGTTTCATATTAAGAGACATAATAGGATCGCCTACAAGTTTTGTTAATAATACTATAATTGTTTTTTTTTGAGGAGGATCTGTCCATGCACGTGCCGTCAATACCTACATTACAATCCGCGAAACGTCTTGCATCTCTGGATTGTCAAACAATTCGGTTTGAACATAGAACCAATTCTTAGCCACCGCTTTCTTGCCCGAACTCGTGACAGCACTTACATTTCCCTTATGATCATCCTTAACCTTCCACGTGGTAAAAAACCTTGATGACGGTTCGAGGGATTTAACTTGAAGGGTAGTAAAATTCGAGGTGCCTAATAACGTTAATGTCTCGAAAGTAAGAAAAGTTTCAGGCGTAATTTTTGAACTGGTTTTGTTTTCCGAAATCTTCTGCTTTAAATCATCAGAATCTTTAGAGTTTTCCTTTGTGGAACTGTTAAAAGCTTCTGGTGGATTATAAGTAATCTTGGCTACATATGGTGAAATGCATCGATGAATCAACATCGTCGATGCAGCACTCGTCGAGATCACTTTAATGTTAAGCAAAGTTTCTATTAGCAAATGATCCAAAGAAGAAATAAATTATACGGTCGATCGAGCATACCAAATAAAGCCATCAAGGTCTGAGCTTTCAAGTTCAAGGAATTATCCAGGATGAAAATCAACGGCGTAAATGACACGGTAGTTATCAGAGACGCGATCGAAAATTTTTTTAATCGTCTACAGGCTATCGCAAATGGAGCTTTATAAATAACATGTTGTTCAATATCTCTTTTTTCCGTTGAACTCGTTGAACTTGCAGAGAATGATCTAGGTGAATGAAATCCCAGGTTGAATCGTAGGGGATAAGAGAATAAAGAGAATTCTGATCTTGAGGAATAAGCGATTGTGATTTTTGAATGTAATGTTTGGTAATTCAATACTCTGCTCCTGAAACAAGACATTACGATTTTTTTTTTTTTTTGTCTGTCGGTCAAGATTTCACGATATTATTCCATACCAAAATCGGTATCCATCTTATATAATTACCTTTTTTAGGTTAGCAACAACTTTCTACGTATAACAAAACACATACAGTAAACATTTAACTGCGAATAAAAATTAACACGCAAATAAAAAGTAACTAGCATCATATTATTTTATTCTTTTTTTAACCTTTGATCTTTTCAATGTTCTCGTCACTGGTAGGTTCGTCGCTATTCTAGACTATTCTTTGTGTTAAGATAATCCCGAAACTTGGATTAGATCGCTAAAATAAGGCAAGGCTTTAATTAATTTTGAGGAAGTTACGATTTGACCTAACTTTTTACACTTGCAAATCTATCTCGTGTTCTACATACGTAATAAAAGTAATCATTTTTCTTTAGTTTTAAGAATCTGGTTTTTTTACTACAGTTCCTCACTTAGGTTCTAAGTTTATTCATGGAATTAATTAATTCCTGTTAACTAACTATTGTAAAATTATCGAATGCTACTTTTATCTATATGTTTTGGACGCGTGTATCTTACTCTAAATACCCGCCATTGCTGCGTGACGCGTCACCATGTCGCATACTGCCCATAGTAGCAGATTCACGGATGGACAGAGGCGTACGTTGTGACCTTTTATAACATATTAGATAATAAAACATTGTATGTAAGTTATTAATGTCTATTAATTATATTATATATACTCTATGATTAATTAGATATACAGTAGAACCTCTATAAATTAATAATTTTGGGACCAATAAATTTTTATAAAATTAAGGAGATATTAAATTATAGA